TCTGCTAAGTTATCCTGATAAACAGATGGTCGTTTGTCACATGGCACATACATAAGATAAACGCCGCCTAAAAATAATGTTATATATTGTATTCGTAAACGAAATGATTCGTCTCAAGGTGACTGAAAATGACAGACATACGTATATATATATATATATATACCGTCGCATCTGACTGGACATTTACATTAAATATCAAAGATTATTGCCCAAAGAACTTATTGCATTCATAGCCTCACCAATAAACAAAGAAGGTATAAGAGGGCTAAGTTGTGCCTGTTATCGAATATCTATGTTTCTAATACGGCTACCAATATAAAGCTTTTGTTTCCAACGTGCACGTCCTAATTAACTGCATCGGCGGCCCGTTGCCGGCTGGCCGTGCACTCGTGCAGTGACCCTTGTCAGCCCTGTGCACCACCACTGACGTCAATGCTTTTCGATGTCGCTTTTGCTAGGGATAACATTCAAGCGCGCACGGTAGCATTCCCCATGCTTCTGCGGGCCCGTTCGGTCCCGATGACGTAATGAGGTTTACTCGTTGCCGCCGCGTAACCCTTTTGTCAGTCGTCAAGGTGGGGCGGCGTAGAACGTAGCAGGAAGCTGCAAAAGACGGTTGGTGATAGAATCTGGCCGTGTCTTCATCTGCTTGTGGCTGTAGTTGAGTGTGCGTGTGTTTGTTTGTGTGGTATTGTTGTACCTGCTTGTGATGTTTCCGAGTGAGCGAAGCGGGTCGGATTCGATTGGAAGCCAAGGAACAAAACAGTGCCTGTAAAGCTGTGCTATACAGTCGCCACTGTGCTGAACAACCAGCACAGTTACCGCCGGACAACGACTGCGACGATCAGTATACGGACCAAAGGTGTCTGGTCTCTTGGCAGCATTCGCTTGTCATCGCTGACGCCGCCATCGTCACCCTTGCTTCCTTTAAGAGGGATAGCAGCAGTAGCGGTGCTACCTCTATGATATTCGTATACTTGTTTAGCCGATGGCCCATTCTTCCGTCCGTCCGTTCGTTCGTCGAACCCCTCAGAGACTGCAACTCCTTTGCACCCGTCTCTTTCTCAAGCGTTTCTCTTTGTGCGCACACTTCACTGTTTCCTGTCTCAACAGTTCTTCTTCCCTTCGCAGCACGAATCAGCAACGGCAGCACCAGGCGGCGTAGGGGCACGAAAAGGCGAAAGGACTCTAAGGAAGCCTCGCGCAGTCCGAACCAATAGGTGAGCTGGCGACTCAATGGATTAGACTGCCCCGGCTCTGCTATACGGTATCCGTTAGGTTCGTTAGCTTTGATTGAGGTTCACGGCTTGATGGAGAATAAAGTATACTGGTAGGTGGTTCGGTGGGCGGCGTGGGCGGGTTGAAGGCTTTGCCTTCAAAGAAATACTGCGCCGAGGTGGGTGATACACTGCGAGAACGGGTTCGAAAGGGTCTCCTCTTTTCAACAGGTATGCGGACTGATCGGCTTATCAGGTATCTACGATGTTGGTGATTAAGCATATAAACATCGTTCTTCGTGCCTTCAAGTGCCCTCTGACAGCTTTCAGCCCTGACTCACAAAGACACAAGCAGAACTATATCAGATGTAACTGTATAAAATATATAATAGTTAGATAGAGCTAGGCACTCGTACATATTCGTTGTACTAACGATAGCATTTGCAGTACTCCTCATCGTAGTAACAACAGTAGACGTTCGAGTGTTATTAAATTCTTTTAGTAGCTGGGCAAGCGGCTGATCTTCCTTCGTCCTGGTTTGCCTGCTGCAGAGCAGAGCATTAAGCTTAAATGGGAACCGAGTGAACGAAAACGGCCTGATCGAAAGCTAGATCAGCATGGCTGTTAAGAGCCTCTTAAAAGTTCTTAATAAACTGTGCGCAGATAATCGGTCGGTATTCTAGTCGGATCTGATGGGGCAGACAGGAATGAGGGTAAGGGATGCGCAAGAGTTCCTACGAGTTAAGTAGTTGAGACAGCTAAGTGAAGCATGGTGGCGCTAGCGATGTTATGCTGACGCCGATGGTGACGAGACACGGAACGGTGAAGCGTGGTTTTCCTCTTTTCAATTTACCTCTTTGAAATTAAACCTAGTGTATAAGGAGTGGTCGTCACTTTGCCCCCTCCAAAAAGCAGGCTTCACATAATTTTGCCGGGCCTATAGGATAATGAGCACTGTAATTTCTGGTTAGTAGGTTAATTTTAGATAGTAGAAACAATCTAGTCACACAAGAAAATTGTGACTTTTATTTATGGACATGGTGAAGACATTAATTATATAGCAAAATCTGTTACATATGTATATAGCAATACGCCACGAATCCATTAGCGTTGCGCAATGGATAGCTTTTTTACGTTTTTATTTGGTGATTCTATTTATCGATTCATTGGACGCCTGACATCCTTGTTTGTATAGCAATAACGGTTGCATAAGCCGTAATAACAATGGAACAAAGAGGAAAGAAGTATTTACTTGAATCATCATTATATTATCGGCCATAAGAGCCTCACCACTGCTGCAGTGGCATTATTAGGGGGCACCAGCGCGTTCTAAAGCGCGTTCCGACGATTATATGTAATGGGTAACACGAAAGGAATGAGAAACGCTTATGCGAGGGCATCCGGCAACGTAAAAGCGTAAAGTGTCGTCGCCGTATGGCACGATCTGTCGGCGAGCCTAAAGTGCTATCATCACGTATCACTGTGCTGATAATCTTTTCAAGCTGCCGCTTGTTCGCCTTTGTGGCGCTGGCTTTCTTGAGTGATGCAGCACGATAATCAGACGGATCTTTTTAAAAAGAAGGTATAAAAAACTATAGTGTTATTGAGTATTGTGCGTAACTGTTGACTGTTCTCTACCGTATGACTGTATGGAAGAGTCCCTGGAAAAGCCTCACTGATTTTGAAGCTCTAGATAAGACGAAATCCATCTCTTCAGAGTTCAGTGGCTCACGAATAGAGTGCAGCTATTCAGAATGGCCTAGTATTTTGATATAGAAACACAATTGAAGAAACTAGACTATATATACATAGTGTAGTTAGGGAAAGGAATAGTTCAGTTTTTCCCGATATTTGCTCGTTGATTGAAAAATATCTCTCTGTAAAGAACTACTGCCAGATGCCTCTAATGCTAGAGCGGTTAAATTTGATTCAGATTATCCGGGTTTATCATACTATTATAGATTGTTTTCCTTCAGATTTTACGTTCAGTGTTAGCCTTTATCGCTTTGTTTTAGTTTTTTTGCCTAAGAATCCAACTGCTAACCGCAAAGGCGGACCCTCGAAAGGGCTTTACGGCGATTACATTCTAAATCTTAGACTGGGTTTCCGCCTAGTGTAAAAGATATTATACTTTCCTTTTCTATAAGCTTTTTCATCTCTGTGACTTTCGTTTTTCAATAGCAGAAAGCTATCGATTGGAACATGTACCTTTGTTCAAAGTGCTTTCCCATAGCCGTATCCTACTTACTCATGGCAAATAGTTCTTTTTGCATCGTGAAAGCTTTTCAAATTTCCTCGCGTGAGACATATCTCTAAAATACGCCTTACTTACTTCTACTGAGCACTGACTTAGAAAGTTCTATTTTTATGTCTCAGCTGTTCTGTCGGCATTTGTCAGTTGGCTGATGAGGGTCCGCAAAGCGTGGAACATTATTGGCAGTGTGAGGCAACGTATTCACTGATTTCTTTGATAGACGAAAATACGATCTTTGACTGTAGTGCGTTGGTTTTTAGACCACGTAAGCTTTATTTATTTTGATCAAACGTATCAGTTATGCCTCTTCTAGAGCTGGTTGCAAGCGAATCGTTGCCCTTAAACAGCAAATCGTGTGAGCATTATTATGTCGGAAATGAACATAACTGAAGTAACAAAAATTCACTAAATCATTGTAAGAGATGCTGGGAACATCCGCATCTCTTTAAAAAGGCTAACTCCTTCAGATCGCAAGCTACATGAGGTAATTTTTCTATTTTTTCTGCTTTCCATTCCAGCTTCTATGTTGAAAATTTTACATCCAGCATCCATTAGATAGATGACCAGCTCCTAGCTATTACGAAACGAATCGTCTGTATGTCTAAGTCCGGATCGGAACTTCAACATGCCCCTAAGACTAGCAAGAAAATACGTTGTTGTTTTAACCCATTTTCGCTGTGGCTTACTCCTACTCTTGTCATTTTGAATAGAATTTCGCGTAATACCTGGCGCGCATTGTAAACGACTTGAACGTATTAAGAACCAACTGAAATGTGAGCTATCTAAATAGACAAAGAACAAGGCCTTCAGTCATCCAGCCGATTAGCTGCAAATTTTAGGTTGAGGTCATTGCGGTAGCGATTTTCACTCCGTAGTTCAGCTTTCTGCGCGTAGGTTCCCATATCGATTTGGTCTGTGTTCATCAAGCTGCGGATCTAGTGCGTCTACCGCGGTGACAGAAGTAACTCTGGTCTAGTTCTCGATTGAAATATACCCAGCGGTGCTTTTGATGGTGAATTCGATCAGCTCGTCACGGGCGTTGTGGGGTGCGCTATGTACTCTATTTTTAAGCGGTTTCCGTTAGCCGTCTGGGGCTGTGCTTGATTGTTTTTTGGCATGCGGCTATCAAAAGGGGGTGTGATCATAATGAAGGCGATGCTATTGACTACGATTTGCAGTAGACAAGAGGGAGGAATCTGAGCTATAATTATGTATAGCACGCTCGTCAAATTGGTCTTGTAATTATAAATAAAAGCGCGCAATTTTTTTTGCCGTACATTTCTGGACTTGGAGCTGCTTTGAGCGTTATTATCTACAGTTGAAACATACTAACAGCTGCAATTGCTGGAAACAAAAATCTTAGACATGGCTATAGTAACGAACAAAAAACAAAATGGAGAAATATCTAAAGAAATATAGGCTTAAATAATATTAATAGGGAACATTTGATGCACCAAATGTGAAAAATATAGTACCTGACCTGGCTAATGCCTTCAATCCTGAGCGGTGCTCAGACCGAAATTTTTTTTTCTAATTTTCTGTAAATAACGAAGTGTAAATCGTTTGCGCGAACTCAGTATTATACGGATAATACTGGATGGCTATTGATAGACGAGGCCATATCTTTGATGCAACGAAACTCTGTTAAAATGCCAGTAAGTCCAGCATTATCACGCACGGCCTAAAGTATTCATGACTGCCTGCGGGCCTTTAATTCCGTACAGGAACAACGTGCACTATCCTCTTCCTTCTACCGTGGTAAATGGCGTGCATCGGGTGATGCAAATAATCGACTAAAAAGTCTGAGCTCTAAGCACTTTTACGCCGAGTACCGAGTGCTTTTGGACGGTTCTCGAAAAAATTTAAACACAACTTTATTGTTCTCTATATTATAAAAGCTCTTGAAATAAGTATTAGAATAATTCGCCTTATAATTTACTTAACGACGAAGACGTATGCGGTTCAACGAGCAAAAGAATGCTATAACACACGAGCCTACAAAACAAGGAGCGGATACCATTGAAACCATTGAGACAGTTGGTCAGGTTCCATCTTTCCTTCATGTTATAAGTATTACATGCAACAGTATCGATTTTCTATACTGAAGGATATCGAGAACTGCCTTCAGGTGAGTCGTCGATAGGATCCATGGAATCTAGCACTTTGAATCATTTGTACTATATGACCGGCTGCTCTTGCCGTATGTAAGCATCTGTACCTCTGTTGCTATTCGCCTTATCGAAAGCGGACGTTTTCGTAATCTAGTTTGTATTTTCTATACGGTATTTACGATACGTAGTCTTGAATGAACCGCAATTCGAGAAATCTGTGTGCACATGGTATTCAGCGTTTGGGACCAGCCCTGCATATGAGTGTAGACCCTGAACCTTGGCATTGTTTGGTCCGCCGTTACCAAAACTCGAGCTTCGACAGTAAAAAAATGCATTAGAAAAACAATTACCGTATCCGTTTGACTTCCATGCACCTAATAATATGATAGGTTCGTTTTTTTGATAATATCATGGAGCCATCTTTTTGCTTTTGTGAAAGATGCTGAAGCATGCGGCAGCACTGAGCGCCATATTCCATAGGGTAAAATAACAGAGGATGAAAGATGTACGTAATTATTAGAGCACAAACGTTCTTGATGTCAAGTTAGGATATCTATCGTACATGGATTCGACCGTTCTGTACAACTTATATTGTTATTCTCGGCCACCTAAAAGTAACATCATAGACAAGCGTTTCTTAGAACAATTAAATAGTAGACAACGCACCTTTCATCTCCGTAAGTCATGTTTCTTTAAACGGTCGCTGATTCCACCTATCGATTTCCACCTATATAGGCCACAATCGGGCCTTTCCAGTTGTTCAGTTGACACTCTAATCACGCAGTGCTAGAAAACTTTTGCACTGCCCTGATCGAAAATAGTAACCCCAATGATACGCTGCGTCTCCGGTCTCGCTACAGTATGTAAGCGTGATCTTCCCTCGCTAGGGAAACGTTTCGAGCAAAAAAAAAAACAAAAAATATCGCCACAATATCCGTGTCATGCTTACAGCATTATAAGGAACTAAAGGTATAGATGTTCGTAGAAGAGTTTGCTATGATCGTTTCTGTGAAGTAGGCTATCTGAACAGCCGATGGATGATCAGACATAGATCCAGTTCATGCTGCTCAGAAACAAGCCCAACGACGCAAAGGGTTGGTGCAAAATTTGAATGAAAGAAGGTACATCGTCTGGCCATCTATCTCGTGGGTAGCCTCTTGCTGTTTAACCTATGTGGCCACACCATAATGCACACTACATATACAGGCTGGACGATTTAGGACATATACTAGGCATACTCATATATAGGCGTATCGCTGTAAAATACACTACCACTGTGAAAACTGCATCATTTCACTCATCAGAGTCCTACTGATTAAATTCTGAAAGGAACTCTATTTCTTTTGCAGTTATTTGTATTTTAAAATACAGATTGATAATCTTTTTTTACCAGTCGTGTGTATAGATCTACTTCAATTCTTGTTTCTGTCTGTCAACGAATTAATATAACAGACTTCTTTGAAATTGAAAAGTATCGCCGACTTCGTTAAGGCCAGCGAGCTATCCTTCGTTCGCCTTCACTCTAACTACGGAAAACGAATTTTTAAAGTTAAATTTGACGTTTTCTTGCTTGTTTTTAGAATGTTGACGCTCAGGCTAACTAAGACGGCGTATAAGTACGTAATACGGCGGTCGGTTTCCAGAGATTGCCGTTGGGTTCGTGGGAAATACTGGCGCATCACATTTTTGGCTTGCTTTTATCATAAAGCAGATACATTTTTGCTGGGTAAGCGCAAAAACGGTTTCTTTAATCAGAAACAGAAGCCCGAACTCAGTAACTGACGACACTTCTGTTCTACTTTTGTTTGTGTGCTGTCGCTCCTTTAGGATCTGTACCAAATATTGTGTTACTATTACAAAGTTGTTTAATAGTTGTTGGTTAGCGTTCTTTTTGCACGTTTCCCTGAGTCCTTAATTTTAATCGTTCCGCGGACTTAAGCCTGAATGTCTCAAATGGCAGGTCCTGCCTGGTTCTCACAGTGAAAGAGAGCGTAGGATAGGTGGCAATTTTGGCAGAACAAGACACGTGGTAGCTTTTCAAAGGAAACCGTGATAATTCAGTGCTAACGTGCTTTTCTATAGGCACGTACTAGCCTAGGTTCGAAATTAGGCGTAAACACACTTCGTGTCAGATTAGGAGCGAGCTATCTGAAGCCGGCACCATCGTTAAACATTTATGGCGGTACCAGATGTAAAACTCAAAACAGTTCTATAAAAATATAAGCTTCAAAGGAAACCCTTTCTTGGGGGGTAACATTTTATCTGTAACGAACTAAAAAAAGCAAGCATATAATTAAAAGTAGCTTAGTAAATTTAACCTAAAAAGTTAATAAAGTTGAAAATTCTGTTCTTGCATCTAAAAAAAGCCCAGCAATTATGAGGGCTTTCGACGAATAGATCCGGCTCCCGTCGTTACGTTTATCATCGACTGTTACACGATTTTGTTAGTTACGTTTTGCTGTAGCTGTCCTCATTGTTGTCGCTATTGATGTCCTAATGTTAATACGCTTCGAAGTTCAGCCGTGAGCAGAAGCAAATGATCGGCTGAACAGAAGAAGACATTTTCGTAGACGTTTTATTGTCTGACCACTGGCAAACGCTCTGGGCAAGCCACTGCGAAGTTCTAGTATCATGGCAGTCCAGCGCATGGGGGCACATACCAACTCGGCGAGCTGGTGTCTTTCAGGATAGTTTGTCCACCGTGGCGAGAGGAAGGCAAAGGAAGGAACCGTTGGAACAGCAGTGAAAGGCCCATATCAGCGAAACACAACAAAGGAGACTGGGTCGAGTAAAAACGAGGTCGTTTCGACTAGATTTGTTTTCGAAATCTCCCCTGCGGCGCGACATGCAACTAAAAGCGTCAAACGTTCAACAGAGGGAAGGAACAACTTGACGGCCGTTTTGCTAGTGCTGTTGTTGCCGGCCAACAATCTTTCTATCTTGAGAAAGCTAAGGGCTCACAAGGACACTGTCTACCATTCACCACCTTGGTCTGAACGAACGCAGAGTAGTAATACGAAGATCTGACAGAAGAGATGCCGCAACGACAACAGCACTCCATTACAGACGAACGAAAAACCTCTGCTGTAACTGCGAAAAGAAGCGGAAAATTTAGTGACAGAAAAACGAAACTCAGCACACTAACGATTTTACCATGTATATAGCTTTGTTAGGGCTCGGTAATACTTCGTTCACTCATGAAGACAATTGGCAGCAGTGGCGATGTGTAATACGATGGTAACAGGCATCAAGATGGCCATTGAAGTCAAACATGTAGCAATGAAACCAACCATAAGTGTACAGAATGGCTTAAATATGTCGAAATGAGAATCCGTATCACACCTGTAACGCTATATAAGCTTTGATTGGGGGGTAAATGTTGAAAAGCCCCAAGATGCAAATTAACAGGAGAAGCTTATCCCTTTGTGTCGGTGTGGCGCCGTAATAGTTTCGTCCTTTTCTCTTGCCAGAGTATCGCGCAGCAATGATGATGACGACGACTCGCTACTTTGTTACTATTTCGTTTGTTCGTATTTATATTGTACGGTTTTCGTGTTTTGTTGTCCTCGACGTTACGAACCTTGTCGCTGTCGAACGATGATGCCACAACAATAACTGAGACAATCGCTCGTAACGCGTGCTTTTGAACCTTGACGCCTGTTTTCTACCCATGGAGAATATAATAATGGATATTCTGCGGCGGTTACAAAAGCTTTTTGGTGGCGTTTCCCGTTTTTTTCTAACCCTAATATATATATATGCATGTAGCAAAAAAAAATGTTATCCATTCAATCCAGTTTTCCAATAACTTACAACATATACATAAGTTTATGCGAGCAAGGCTGCTTATATCTCCTTATAGCAAACCGAAAGCGAACAGTATATTGGCTCGCCCGTTATTATTAGAATAGAATTGTTTAATAAGCCAAAAATCCCAGTTTTGGGGTACAATACAAGAAACAATGACTCATTCTCATTGACAGATGATTATAATACTACTCAACTGGACTGTACGTGTGAAGCACGGAATGTTTCTCTCAATTGTCTGTGTATGTACGTTTATGTTATTTTGTTTAAATGATGGACGAATACTCGATAGTACGCGCACTATATATCAATGCCGTCTATACAACGCTCCAAAATGTTTATTGTGCCATTTCGCCAAATCATAATTAGTCGTGTATTGTAATCACTAGAGGTCGCTTTTTTTCCTCATCTTCTTACAATAGCAGTCGACTACGACGGAAAGCAGAGGCACATCCTACTATGTATGTTTGCGGGCTATCTCCTGTCGTCGTGTAGTTTGATCTAGCCTTCAGCAGACGCCGGATCAACACAGAAGTGGCATCCACTAATCGAACCTACGTCTACTTGTTTGTATGCAAGACGGCATTAAACAATGTGCGCATACCAGTCGGTATTCTGCGTGTGTATGTGTGTATTGAATACGCACAATCATCAGAACTAACACACTTACACATAAAGCGGTAGCTGTTTGTGGGTTTTCCGGCGGGCTTTAATGCTGATACCGTTTGCCGACGCGCAACCGAATAACTGTCAGGGCCCCTTGTCAAAAACGGACTTGCTACCCTGCCCATCTATCGCTGGTGACTCTGTCAGTGACGAACCTAGCGGTCGTGAAGGGACGGGAATCCAAGACCGCCTCATGACTTGATGTCGACCGCCTCCTGCTGCTGCTGTATCATGGTGATCTCATTGAGACACTGTGTAAGTAGGGGGAAAGTTTAGGTCAGCAGCGTCTCGATCTGTGTGTGAGATGTATACAGGATGTAATGCTGAGCGCCTTACTCGAGTCGGCGACCTGGCCGAGATGTTCGTTTACGCCGGACTGTAGAACGACTAAGGGTCTCTTGTCGCTCTTCGGCTGCTTGTGACCGCTTACGCGCGTCCATTCATCTGTCTGTCTGTCTGCTTATTACTCTGGTTTTGTTCAGGTTGCTGCGTCCCGAGAAGTAACTGCGAACGTCGTCCGTATGGGAACTTCTAGTAGAAGAGCAGTACTAGGCGAAGGAAAAAAGGTCTGCTAGAAAGGAATGAGAAGGAGGAAGAAAAGACGCTGGCCATCGGTGTCTGGGTCGATCTCTGCTGCCTGGCGTTTACTGGAAGCTGTTGAATCTATTCGTACTCGTACCTAGTAGAAACGTACTATAGAGATTTAGTTCTGGTTAGTTAGTGGACGGGTGTCACGACTAGCAACAGACGGCTTCTATGGCGCGCTAAATGGCTTCAGTGTGTGATTTAGAAAGAAACATGTGGAAAATAGAATGGGGCTAGGTTGAAAAGATCCGCCGGATTTGAGCCACAAACAGAAAAAGGTAGAAAGAAATGGCGAGTTAGGTCAGACAGATATGGCCGCTCCGAAGAGGTCATCCCAATAGAAGTAGTGAACAACCATATAATCGGGTAATGCTATTTTGGGTGTCTTTTGAGAGCTTTCCAAGCTTGTATGATGTTCGTTTTTGGCTACTCAAAATTCACGAAGCGGCTTTGCATGCGCATGCCAGTTGACTCAAGCTGACTTTACAAGTTTATACGTCATCAACAGAGGAGTTCATTATTAAGCAATACTTTGCCACACTAGCTCCAAGTTAAGGAGGAAGCCATTTATTGTCAGGGGACAGAATAATATAGGCACAATTTTTATACCTATCGGTCTCTTCGAGCAATTTAAGGCAAGATGCAACTGGCAGTTCAATAGGATCGTTTAATACCTTCAGGTAACACTGAAGCGATATTCCTTTAAGAAAATACCATATATACCTTTTCATGCTTTGTTTCTAAGTTTTCTCGACGAAACTTTTTACATACGCTCGAACTTTTGACGGTCTGCTTTATTCAACACACCCATTGTTCATCTCGGTGACAGCTTCAACTCGGATCCTTAACCGCTTACAGACCTGTTTCAGTTTTTCCCTTTGCAATTCTGCGAACGTTTTAGGGATAAAGACACAGGTGGGCGCTATCATGGTTGTACTCTCGCACATACATCTAGTAATCTAACTAGTCTAAATTCGCGCTGCTCGGCACCATAGCTGCTCATCCCAGAGCGTACTTTGTATTCTCGTACAGCCAGTGCTTTATTAATTGGTTTGTATGAGCCGATGCATTACCTTCGTGGAAAACTCATACTCTTTTTTCAGAAACTTCAGCTATCCACGATTGCGGAATATTCGCAGGACACCGATGAACTCCTTTAGCAACGTCCTTGCCTTTTTGGAAGAAGGCGTGGTAATATGATGTCTTCTTTATTGGACTCCACGCTCAGAACATGAATTTTGACGAAAAATTCGCCTCTACCTACAATAGACACACAATTCGGATCGTGAGCAAATCGACGATCATTTCCGCGATTCATGTTTGCGTTGAGAAAACACGAGCCAAAAATCAAACTAAAAAAAAATCGAACTCGGTCTGATCCTTCATTCTTAAGAAAGTAAACTAGCGAAAATGTCTTAGTTCTATGATCTTCAGAGAGCACTTGTCTAACTTGCATGACACATGATGCAGACCTGAGGTCTTCGTAAGCAATTCGTAACATGGTACGCCTGTTCATATCGGATCTTTCTTCACTAACACCATGATCAAAATAGAAGGATTATTATACATACAGTCTCAGACGGCAGCGATTATCTTTAGACTCCCTTTGCGTTGATGCTATACCAGCTGTACGTGATGTGCGAAGAACTAAATAAATGGGCGTTACATGATCGTCGAGGGCATGTAGGTTCACACGAGTGTTGAGACTGACGTCAGAAGTAGGAGATGTTCACGGATCCTTCCAGACGTCCGTAGCAATAAGCTGCTTTTAAAAAAGGAAGAAAGACGGTTGTGTCTGAAATATAATAAATAAATAGGGTGATGACGAAGACGGATCTAATGGAGATGCCGCTAGACGATAAGCTGACACGTGAGACCTCTTGGATTAAGAAGCGGGCAGCGGTGGGGGAAATGTCTAGTCGACCGACGACATGTTGGAAGCGGGTCTCTAAAATGTAACGTGGGAAAATACGGGCCTTAACTGAAATAACAAAGGAAAGCAGTCTATTGCCCTTGCGAGATCGCTTCGATCTTTCTCTTTGCTATTGTTAATAGCATAAAGATCTGCCGCCAGCTCGGTGCTGCTTATAAGCCAATGGGATCGCAGGCGATACAAACACTGGATATCTGGTTTGCTATTTTCGGGTTGACCTAGCAAGTCAGATTTCTTTCTGGGCTGATGTACATCAGGCTGAAACGAGACCGATTGGAGTAGGACTAGAAAGAAACTCCTCTCAATATCAATAATAAGAAACTGGATGTTTTCATATGTGACGCGATACATCGGGCCATTTCTACTGTGAGTATTTGTGCTGTTAGCCAGCACGAGGGGTATTACGCCCACGGCAATAACGGCATTTCCTAAAGAGCTGATCACGCTGAATAGCTGCCAATATGGCTCAGGCAATGTTGGCTTTCTCTTTGTACATCCGGAACTTACAAACACAGATACGTAATATGTGCGCTTATAAGAGCGCAACTTTACGATACGGGTTTCAGTGCTCAACTTACAACTTATAATAGCGCTGCGGTGGCCGGGTGAGGCTGTTGCATGGCTTTCGTACAAGGGTAGTTGGTTAGTCTACAGTGACGCATTTTGTAGGAAGTTTTTCCACGATAAATCGAAAAAAACAAGTGGAGGGAGACGGAAGAACCATGCCGGGAGCCAAGTACGGACTGCGGTAGTTCATGGTTGGCAATGTTGGTTTCATTGTTCGCGTACGTTGTGTGTAGTCGCTTTCAACGTTATATCACTTACGGCGATCCCAACGCGCGTGGTAAGCTGCGCAGACTTGCCAAACGATATTGGCCATACATAGCCGAGTCGAAATCGCCCAACTGTAATGACTCTCTAGTTTCTCGAGTTACGAAGCTTTTGTGTCGGAATAAGCTGCATACTCCGCGCATACGCTAGCTAGCTAGCTAGCTAGCTAGCAGCAGTTCTCCGATGCACGAGGCATAAATTTCACAGCTGTGCTTTATGGCTGCCCGTGCGACAACGTATGCGAGTTTTCTGCCACTCGGTTGCCGCTCGGTGTTTGTAGCTAGTTTGGTACGGTACAACGCGGAGGCCAACTATCGTATCAAGGTATTATAGAAAAACGACGACGGTAATTCTGCGAAGAAAGTGATTTTAGCTACCTCGGTTCGAGTTTGTCTGGTTTTCATAAGGAAAAGATCAACTTGCCTGCATCACAGAATACCGCACACTACAGAATACGGGCTAAAAGATAGGTGGCTGCCTGCGGAAGTTTATAATTATATATAACTGAACACAACACTCAAAATGTATTTCATCTAAACACTTCACGCAGCAGCATCCGCACACTAACAATGTTTTATAATAATTTAAAGGATACGAGCTCGTGATAAATATAAAAAAAAAAAAACAGCATTACCGGTTGTTCGTTTCCAATGAAAGCAACACCCAAGGATGTTTCTTCGCATTTATTTAGCTCTCTTAGCCAATAAATGAAAGGCTAACTTAATAATGTATTAATATTTAAAAATTCATCAGCTGCGAAGTTTTTGTTCTGAGGTGCTTTATGTGTACCGTTATATGTGCGGTATGTCATTGCATATATAAAAATGTCATGCCAAATGGTAATGGAAAGCGGACACGAAAGACAATATGATGTGCATGCAACGTGTCTCCTTTTTGTTTCCAGTCGGGTGCCTGGCGACGATCGCCAGAAACAATGAGTACCGCCCTTCTAAGCTGCTGGAAACTTTGATGATAACGGACGGCCGCTGGGGAAGCAAGACGGAAATGGCGGGTAATTTGAATTCAAAGGAGCCAGCCAAGCCTGCCCTCCCAACAGCACATCGTTTTATTTTGGAACAAACTGTACCTCGTAAACCTTTTGTCCTCTCAACGATCATATAGTCACTAGGACATAGGTTATATAGAATAGTTCCGCTTTATATCTGTAACACATATTAATGCAATAGAATTTGTTAGAAGGTTCTAGCGAATGTCCAGTTGGGCAACTTCAATTCCTTGTTAGACTCATGAACTATCTCAGTGCTCATATCGTGGAAGAAGGTCGCCATGTGAAATTTAGAAATTTCCAAGCAAAGCACTGTCGTACTACGTTGAATTATTTACGGGTAATAGAACCTACACAGCTGCTCATTCTATTGCGATAAAGGCCTCTGTGTTTGCTTCAGATGGACCTCACTTGAATTTCGGTAAGACGCGAGAGTTTAGGACAGGTTTAAGACGTGCACGTCAGGTGTCAGACCAGCTTGTCGCATGTCTACGGCCAAGAACCTCAAGGATCCATGCCAATATAGACAAATTATCTGTTTCGTTCTATAAATATGCGGTGTTGAAATGTTGCTACATAGGAAGATATTGCGCATTCAGCAGTATATCTGTATATCGTTTTTAAGGACTATTGCCTCTAGCTAATAGTCTTTGACAAATTGGGGATACTGGCTTCTTAATAGCAGTGCCAAATGAGAGCCTCAAAATCAACGCGCAGCTACAACCGTAATATACAAAATGATCATGGTTCTTTCGTGCAAAGAAGCTCCAGTCTCATTCAATAGCTGATTCTGCATCAATGCTTAGTATACGTGGGCAGTAACCAGTGAATAAACATATATCGTGAATTAATGAGTGTTTATTTAGCTCAGCTTGGCCCTATTAAGCAGTGTCTCCATCTCTGAGGTCCGCACGCATCGACGGGGACCCGAAGCAAAAGGTTTATATCAGTTAGCTACGATGCAAATTTAACTTTGTGCGCCCCGCCGATATAGCATATATTCAAACCATGTATATTTACATACTTACAATGGGACAAAGTAGAATATCCTAAACTAAACTAATGGCATATGTTATCAACACAGCTGACAAACAGATAACCGGTAGGATTCCTACTCGAAGGAATACCCCTTTGTTTATTGGTAGCTTATAATGGAATACTCATAGATTTACCTCGTAGACACACGGCACTGCCAGCTGGATACCCATCTTGACTACACATGTGTTAGAATAAGTGCTCTAGGAGGCTTTACATTTTACGATACGCCCGCCAAGGCTAAAGTAAACGGTTCGCAGAAACGATTTTACACATTGCCACAACCAGATTAATAATAGCTGAAGAATAAACGAGGATAAACAGATATTTGCAACTCGATCACCTCGTACAAACTCGGATCCGAAGTACGCCAGGCTTCATTGTACTAGTATAAACATACTCGGCAGTAGATCCCCACAAACCACTACAAGGATGCAGGATAAATCCTGTGCTCATCGGACACTTAATTAAATGCTATGCTGGACACGTATGATGTCACAAAAAGACGTGATGCATTCATCAATAACTATTCTAGTACGTATATGCTCTTGAAAAGTTCTCGTTGTCTCAACGTTCGCTTCTCCTGAACAGTTAGCCACTTCCTCGAGTAGTCCTCGCTTACCCCGTTAGCAAAGCGGCAACTCTTTTGACGACGGTATGGTTCGCTTCATATTTTACGTCCAAAAAACCGACTAGTATAAAGTGGCGTGACAACTTGTCGTAGGGTTGGACCTGAAAGGTCACTGCCGGATTTCTGCTCACGCGTTCAGAACTTGTAGTTAGGTAGTAGGAAGAAACCTCGTGGTAGCAGTCAAGTTGAAGGTACAATACGATAAAAAACAGTTGGGGCAGGAGATGTTAAACGGAGCGAGGCGAGAGACTGAAAACGGGGCGTATAAACCTCGGAATTCAAGGAGTTATGCCAAAGTACAAGCTCTGAGGTGGACGACCTGGGCCGTTTGTTATATATGCCTGCTTACCGCGTGCGCCGCAATATATATTAGCGTATACAGCGCACAACCTCGTTTCCTGACTGCGTTGGGCAACTGGTCTGGTGTTTAGCTTGCCGTGGATCGCGGCATGGATTTGTTTTCGAAACGCAAGCAAGCCAATCGTAGGCGAGTAAACACTACAGTGTAGTTCGGACCCAGCTAACGGCACAACAGTACGTAAGCTGTTGTGCTGTTAGCTGAGAAAACAACACGTAATTGTTGTTCGGGGTGATTGGGTCGTTTCTGATTTAGTTCTGCAAGTAACGGTTATGGCCATACGCCGTATGGGAGCAGTTCAACGGACGGATGCATGTGGTAAAGACTTTAGGATAGTGCATCCTTCACTGGAACTAATAGTTCCAATCTCCTATAGTTTGTATGTTCGCGTCTTCCTTCCCTTCATATAACGCCGAAGGCGACTGTCACAAGTCTGGCTGTACGACTTTCTGGCGGTTAGTCGGTCGAGTCGGGTCCTAGAAATCTTCTAAGAAGAGCCACGTGGGAATGAAAAAGAAAGTGGGTGGTGTGATTGCCGTTGATAACCCGTTCAAATGTGCTCTAGCCGAAACGCCTCTGAGCAGCGACGAACGCACAAGCAGGCGCCACATAAACGAAAAGGCCAAAGCTTGCTACCGTTAAAACAAGTGGGCTGCAGCTAGGGACACGATAGTAATATCCCCTTTATACTGGTTTATGAAAACTTACGGTTGTGTAACCTAACCTAAACTAATAATAGTAGCGACAGAAATAGCAACACTCCATTTTGCAATGCGAGATGCCGATTAGGTGACCCCTGTTTTCTGTCCGTTGCACTGATCGACGCTACGTATGGCGCTAGTCGTCCGACATCATATATAGTAGGTAATTGCGTTAATAATATCTGAAGCCCATATAGCTAAGCGTTACTCAGCAACGCCAGAAACTCTACAAATTACAGAAGAGTGCATTTCCTAAAACGAAAATGTAACACATACTATTCACAATCATTCATCTCTGCTTTCTCTGACAAGCGATAAATTAGACTGCTGTACGAAAATGTCACAATAACGAGCTAAATCTGCCCTATATGTATATCTAAGTCACTGGTATTTTATTAAGGGTGTATCAAAGTTCTTGGCGCTGTCATCGCCGCCAGCCGTCCCTAACCAGAGGAACTTATATAGTCCGTGGAATATGGCATTATCTCGTTGAAGATTGCAAAATCGTTACCATTTATTCTTCGATCGCGTAATGATTGTCGAGAAGTCACTATCATCTCGTCTGTCGACTGCAACAAATCGACCAGATAATAGAAGTAAGATAAGGACGTGCGGATACAGACTAGGTCAGCAACCAGGTGTCCTAATAAATCTTGTCATTGATAAAAGAAGTACCTAAGGACAGAGCAGTTCTCATGTGTAGATTCTACGCTGACGTAACCTTTAGTTAGCACATAGCGCACCATTACATTTGTGACAGAACCCGTTTTCACTCTAGCCAAGTGCGCGTACCCCGCAATCGGCTCTAACCTAACTGTTATATATATATATATATACATAGCTTAATTGAAAGAATACAATTAATGGCGCGTCAATGACAGTTCTAATGGAGGCAGTGTATAATTTCTTAAATGATAGCATTTTTGAATATCATAACTTAGCTAAGGGAAAAACGAGCTTAATGTAAAATACTAGCTTGAAAAAAAATTATAATCTAATGTTGTATTGTGATGTGGCCATTGGGTTCTTGCCACTTTGACAGGTCTTTAAAATCTCGTTGTAGGCGCCAGCTCTCAGCTTTGAATTCGACAGACGTAACATACGGACGGTTAAAATGCGCTTTGGGAAGCTCGAAGTAAAGCACTGCTTCGGCCCACATTCGCGTGAATGGATATTAGAAAAAGCAAAGTATTTTTTTGGTTTACAGCAGTTATAGCAGCTAATGTATTGTTGAGTTTTCATAAGTTTGTTGAGGTTTCATAAGTAGTAAATAACTGTCTCAGTGATGTTGTAGTGAGTAGCGTGTTTGCCCGCTAAACTTCAGGGTAGTCTGGATTCCAATTCTAACGTGGATCCACGGCTCGTTTCGTGTTGGAAATCCGCCGTCTGATCAATCCCTAACCGCGGTACCGGACATAGACATTTTGCGTAGTAACTAAACGTACACTGTGTCTGTTTAGGCTTAAAGCTCGATATTCTGTCTAAACGTTGGAGCGGAAAAGACCCCTGTGCAAAACCGCTGGCCTAAGTGGGCTGTTCAGAAACGATGCGGGCCAATACGAGGTGCACTCGTATGTGAAACTTCCATTCAAAAAGCACTAAGGCAGTATCAGCACATGATTACGTCATAAGAAAAAGGACACTTTTAGAGAGATGCTCGCAAAGAGACTACGACGATAATTTAAGTTAGAGTTATTAAACCCAAGAAACAAACTGTTAAGGCTACAAAGCTTCGAACGTTCATAAATTTGTCGGTGGTTGTCAAGCAGTTGTGTCAATTTCCTCACAACAATATCTAAGCGTATCAGAATCGTGGGTGGAAGATACCTGGAAGAATCAGTATCGTGTACAAATGGACACCGCTATAATTGTAAAATAATTTGTTTAATTTTTGGACAAATAAAAGATAACACAGAATGTATTCATAAAAATGTGTTCGTATGGTATATTCTGAGAAGACTGAATCAACCGTGTGTCAGTACGCGGTGACTGGAAAGATCTTCTTTCATATTCAATTAATAGGTATTGTTGTACTGGCCGTTATAAGATCGATCTTGCGGCTCGGAGGTACACGTTCGCTAGGAGAATCGAAGATATAACAGCAGATGATCTTACGTTGTGGTCTAGCGTAGTCTAATGAAGCTCCAGTGCAGCATTAGCTAGTTTTAAGAAGTACAGATAAGGAAATCCGGCAATGAGGACGGGGGAGCGACATCATAGAGCAAGACGAAAAAAGCAGAAAAAGATCAAATGCACTCCCTAGACCTACTTTGTTTCGGTAAAGATAATTGACAGGTTGAATTGAGGCCGGTTTAGGAGTGATTGATTTCTGAGCGTAACTGCGAAGCATGCTGAGTCAAACTGACACCGGAGCCAGGAAACTAAGACAAAGAGGAAAGGATCGTAGGGCGAACGGGGAAGCGGATGTCAGAAGGAGAATGTTGTAACCATAATAGAACAGATTGATTCATTTTATTCGGTGGTCTAGAAAAAGGCGGAAAGGCCTGTGCTGCCTATTGGTAAATTCATACATTGATACACTCGTGAGACGCAATAAAATGCTACGGAAATAATCGAATTCAATCAAGTTAATGATGGAGTCTTTAAAAGGAAGTTTTAGTTAACCAACAATTACTCTAGATACACCGAAAAGCAGTGTTTGGTGATAATTTGAATGTTTTTTTACCCTGACGGCTTTGGTTACTATTTGTCTAGAGAGTTTCATACAAAAGACGAGAGGCTTGTCAACTCGGCATCCATTTTGGCCGAGTTCGTATTGTTTTGTTGTCCTTCTGAGCACTTTATTTTTTTAAGTAAGTGCCAATATCTAATAGGAAATAGGCTTAGAAGAAGCATAAGATACTCTTTATTGAACATTCCGTGTTTTTCGGTATATACATTTAGATGTGTGTGTACATATGGCTGCCAGTATTAGATGCGAACATACACGAGAGAACTACATAAACCGGTTGGTGTAAGCGTGCAGCAGATGGATGCAGTGGCAGGGGAATACTTACGTTATAATGACGCACGCATATGCAATACATGGCCACTGACAGGCATCGTGAACGCCTGCTGCAAAAGATGCCATT